CAAATAGACCTGACTGTGCCTATTGGAAGGAGGTGAATTGAAGATGACCCAGGAAATGCTCCTCAGCTTTGACAACCAAGTATTTTCCAGAAATCTCAATATTAGAAAAGTATTGAGCATTTATTTTCACTGAACTCTAAGTTCTCAAGAAATAACTGGATGAAATACTTAACAGGTTTACCAAGGCTATCTGGGAGAGGAGAAGAATCAAAATGAAATAAAAATGAAACCACTTGAACTTCCTTCCACAAATATCATTTTATTCATACCAACATTTTTTTTTTTGAGGTTTCAACATTTTTAGAAAAATGGTTTTGTTTAGATCAGGTCAGCAATGGCAGTTCTCTTTGGGGAAGGCTGGTTTGTGGTAAGCCTGTGGTCACTGAAGTGCCAGAAATATCCATGGGAAGATGATGGTTTTGAAAATCCTCGTTTGATAATGAGCCCAGGAGAATTTGCTTGCATTTGGAATGTCTGCATCATGAAGTGAAATTGTTATTTGTACTTCACACATTTACTTCTTTTTAGATCTGTTCGAGGGCACTGAGAGTTGTGTTCTAAAGTAGAGCACGGTTAACTAAGTCACCAGGACTTTGTGATAAGTAGTAGAAGTAATTCTTCCTCCCAATTAAACTGGCAGAACCACCTTCCTCTTTCTCAGACCATATATTCATTGAGGAAAGGGGCAGCACATGGCCACTGTTGACCACAACCCTCACCATGCAAGGTTTGAGCACGTTGTTGGTATCCAAATTGTTAATAACTAATGCAGACCCATCCCACTTTGTGACTATTTGTCTGTAACTAGGTTTCATAATTTATTAGAATAGCTGGGGTTATTCACTAACTCTTCAGAACGGTAGATTTAAAAACAACATTTAGAGAATCATTTGCAACTACACCTGTTCTCAACCTTGTCTCTCCCAACTTCATGCAGGAGATGTCCCCCTAGTCCAAGGTGAGTCGCCTGTCTATACTCTGAATGTACACATCAAAACTAAATTCATGGGGAAAGGTTGACCAAAGGGTATTAAGTTGCAGTTACCTAAGAGTAAGAAGTTCTGATGTGCAGTTGCACAGTAAGGTGACTATAGATAATGATTTTTGCACTGCATATTTAAAAAAAAAAAACCCAACAAAAATAAACTAAAAGAAAGAGTTTTGAATGTTTTGCAATGAATTATTGATAAATGTTTAAATTGATGGATACATTTAACCTGATTATTCAATTTATACATGGATCAAAACATTACAGGATGCCCCATTAATATGTACAAGATTTGTGTGCCAGTTAAAGCAAGTTTAATTTAATGAAAAACATCAGTCTCTTTTAGAAAGAAACATAAGAAAAGTTAAAAAAAGGAAGAAAAAAATTAAATCTACCATCTGCTTTATGTCTCCAACTGTTGCTTCTGAATTTTCTATGAGTGAGTGCCACCACCAACCACCCAGCTTCACAAGCAAGCCCTCCGGAGTCAGCAGACTCCTTTCCATTCCTATGACTACAGCTCCATCCCATCACCTGTCCCGTCCATTTTTACCAATTCAATTTCCCTGACTCTCCATTTGTATGAGTCCCTTGTCCTTTACTATAATGAAATATCTGAGGCTGAGAACTTTGTAAAGAAAAGAGGTTTATTTAGTGCATAGTTTAGGAGGTTCAAGGGCATGGGGCATTGGCCTTGGCTTGACTTTAATCAGGACCTATGGCAGATGGCATTTCAGTGGTAAAAGGAACTAATCACATAGCAAGACAGGAAGCCAGAATGGCTGGAGAAGTGTCAGGCTTGTTTTTTTTTTTTTTTTTTTTTTTTTATAACAACCCTTTCTACAGAACTAAGTAGGGTTTCCAGAGAACTACATCATCTTTTTCCAAGGCACTGCCCTTCATGATCTAATTACTTCCCACTAGGCCCGATTTCTTAGAGGTTCCACACCACCTCCCAACACTGCCCATGGAGGACCAAGATTCAATTATGAGCCCTTGAGGGACACACTCAAACCACATCCAAACTACAGCACCATTTCTAGTTCCTCTGCTGTGACACCGCTCCCGGAGCCTCTACCTCAAAGCCTCCACATTCATTGAAAAAAGTGGTCTCCCTGATACAAATTCTAATAGCCATACAATCCATTTTCATACAACTGTCAGAGTTATCTTTTTCTTTTTCTTCCAGTTTTTTTTTTTTGTGGTGCTGGGGATTGAACACAGGGCCATGTGCATGCAAGGCAAGCACTCTACACTCTACACTCCCAATTGAGCTATATTCCCAGCCCAGGGACATATTTCTAAATGCAAACCTGCTTAAAATCTTTGAATGGTCCTTTATCATCTTAAGAATTGGCCACTTTGCAAATGGAGCATGTTTTTCTGTCTCTGTTACCTTCATAGAATTGTTCCCTCTACTGATCCTTTGCTCCTTGCTTGCCCAAAAGGTTCCTAACAGTTCTTTTGGTCTAGCTCATCCCCTACCACCACTGGGAAACAGTGAGGGAGGCATTCTGGGTTTCAAGTCAAACACAGAAGCACTTTCTGTGTTTCCTTAGTGTCTTAGTATCTTAGACCACTGTTTTGAAAGATTAGTTCAATTGTAACTTTAAATTCCTGACTCCCAGCAATTCTTCAGTTCACTCCAGGGACATTGTTCTTTTTTTGGTGGGGTGGGTATCAGGGATTGAACTCAGGGACACTTGGCCACTAGGCCACATCCCCAGCCTTATTGTGTGTTTTATTTAGAGACAGGGTCTCACTGAGTTGCTTAGCGCCTCACTGTTGCTGAGGCTGGCTTTGAACTCGTAATCCTCCTACCTCAGCCTCCCAAGATGCTGGGATTACAGGTGTCTGCCACCGTGCACAACGGTGACATTATTTTTCCCAATGACATCAATTGCTTCAAAAGAAAGTGTAGTTTTATCTTGAGTGACTATTCTTCAGCATTTCAGATTGTTGGTCCCTCCCTTCTTCTGGAAATCATTAATTGGGCTTCTGTGGCTCTCTGTGCCCTGGCCTACATCATCTCTGAATGCTAGCCAGTGAATCCAGCTTGCCTTTGCTTAAATGCTGGTGTCCTAAGGGGTCCTTATTAATTATTATTTCTTTTTTATTCTCCTTGCATAATTTCATTTAGTTCTACATCTTTAGCAACTATCTGTATACCCAGTGAAGCCAGAATTTGACCTCTAGAACTCTATTTCCAATGCATAATAACTTCTATATCTTACAATATATTCAAATTTTACAAGTTAAAATTAAGTTTCTTTGTCAAACATAATTACTTTAAAATTTTTTTTGGTTGCAGATGGACACAATACCTTTATTTTATTTCTTTTCTTTTTTTTTTTTAGTTTTATATGGTGCGGGGGATCGATCTCAATGCCTCACACATGCTAGGCAAGCGTTCTACCCCTGAGCCACAACCTCAGCCCCAAACATGATTACTTTTGTGTTTCCCATTCTGGTGAATTAGCAGTAGAGTCAGGGTACTGACTATAATCTTCCTCCAGGCTTCTAGATTACATAATAAATAAATTTCAAATAAAGAGAGTTATCCTCTGTATATTCCAAATGAGCTTCTAGAAGTATTAATTATTACTGCATAACAAATCACCACAGATTAGCTGTTTAAAGCAGCATACATTTGTCATCTTAAAGTTGCTGTGGGCCAGGAGTCCAAGCATGGCTTAGTCCTCTGATGAGTGTCCCATGAAGCTGCAGTCGAGGTGGTGACCTGGAGCTAGGCTCTCAGGCTAAAAATCTTCTTCAAAGATCAAGTGGTTGATGGTAAACTTTATTTCCTTGCAGCAGTTGGACTCACAGCAGCATGCTTATTCAAGGCCAGGAGGAAGGGTGTGGACGGGCTTACTCTGTCTTAAAGAACTTAACCTGACTCAGTCAAGCCTGCCCAGGAAAATACATGTTTGATTCACTCAAAACCAGCTTATTAAGGACCTTAATTACGTCTGCAAAACTCTCTTCACTTTTGCCATAATACGACATTATCTTGGGAGAGAATATTCTATTGCTTTTATCATTTTTTTTTTTATTTGAAACCAGTTTCAGGTCCCACCCACGCTCAAGTGGTGGAGTGTTATACCAGGGCATGGGGCACTGGAAGTCATCCTAGAATTCTGCCTTCCACCACTTAATTAAAAAGAAAAAAAGCATATATGTGAAAACCAATAAATGTTTGTCATTTGGAGATGCTGCCAGGCTGAATACAACAAAGAAAAGTACAGAACTTTAATTTAACATCTTTGAGTTCACTGGAGATGGCACATAGTTGAAAGATGGAGAAAATAGTTTCCTATGCTTTCTTCATCTTCTCCGACTGCCTTGGGCAGGAGATGGGCCCAAGTCTCTAAACTTTAGATTATAAGAACCAAGGGATAATTAAATAAGTAGTTCTGAAAGACAGACATTTACTTTCATAAGTGGCTTACTTTGAGAACCATTTTTACCATGTTTAGCCTCCTTCATACAGAGAGGATAAATGTGGTTAGGTGTCTGTAGTAAGTTGAATGATTTTCTTCAGTGTACATTACTTCCACTTTTCCTAACTAAAAAAAAAGCTATTTTTATTATTTCAATAATAATTTTTTATTATTTTTTCTAATAGCTTTTTTTTTCTCTTAATACCTTTGGCAGACTGGTTTTCATGAAACACCAATCTTCCTCAGGTAGTTCAGCCTCACTGGAAGTTGTTTTCATAGTTTCAAAGGCATTTCTACAGGAGTTCCTGCACTGGGGACTCTGCCTTCCTAGCCCACAGCCCTGAGGGGGTGCTCTGTGGCTCCTGCTGCTCCTGGCTTCAGACAGAAGTCCTGACAGCAGGCTTAGGGTGTGACGCCTACTGAGAACTCTGCCCCTGCAGGCGCTTCTTCTTAGGGAGGACTATCCCACGGCATTCAGCAGGACACAGCCTGACCTGGTGCATTTCTCTCCTTTCCTTGCCCCGACAAGGCCCACTGGGCATGCTCCTGGGAGGCTGGAGTGGAAGTCCCTACAGATACGTGGTCACTTCTCTGTTTTCCCTCTCTTTGGCTTGGGCAACTGCCACACTGAGGCACTGCAGCCACTCTTCTGCATTCTTCTCATCCTTGGCCTTGAAAACATAGGTTTTATTGTCTGTGAAGATTTCAAAAGCCCGGGGGAGAGAGCGGTCCCTGCGTTTCTTGGCCACGGCTTTCACACTCTGTACCTTGCTGAGCTCTAATGGGGCATCTTCGGGATCATCTTTCTGAAATGCATGGGGAGGAGAGAAGATGAGCTGGCTGCTGCTGTAGGCTAAGCCTCTGGCTTCCAAGGGGGTTTATTTTATTTATTTTTTGGTACCAGGAGTTGAATACCAGGGGCGCTTTACCACTGAGCCACACCCCCAGCTTTTTAAAATATTTTATTTAAAGACAGGGTTTCCCTGAGTTGCTTAGTGCCTCGATACATTGCTGAGGCTGGCTTTGAACTCACGATCCTCCTGCCTCAGGCTCCTGAGCTGCTGGGATTGTAGGTGTGCATCACAGTGCCTGGCTGCCAGGGGATTTTTAAAGGAGGGCTGACCCTTTCACTTCCTGTGACCCAAGACCTTTGCTATTTGGGATATGAAAGCCTTGAAGAGCCAGTAGAAAACCAAGGGAGTAGGCAATTGGGACCTTGTTGTAGTATCCATTAAGTTGACACAAGATAGCAATCTATAGAATGTCATTATCATGTGGGAGGGGGGAGAGTGCTTTGATTTTCTGTCATTTTCTAGTGAACACAGCAGTCCAATTTGGAGTTCTACTAACTCTGAATTTCAGAGAGTTTAGGAGGCACAACATTGAAATTTCCTTTGTGCTACCTCTGAGGAAGGGATGGATGAGACTGTAATGGAATAAACAAACAGGGGTCCAATGTCTGAGTAGATGAAACTTTTCCAAACCTCCTCCAAACTTTTGGAAACATGTATTGCCTATATACACTAGATGAAAGAATATTGAATGAAGCAGCATTTGTCTTTAATGAAAACAGAGGCTTAAGGTTCTCTGCAACTCCAGGATCCTCACACTGGGCTAGCACAATTGTCTGAAGGCAATTAAATATTTCTGGAAAGCAATTTCAGGTCTTCAAGCTTCCTGAATACATTTTGTCTACTGGTGAGTTATCAGTGGTTGAGAATCTTGTCCATTCTCCTCTCCATCCCCCCTTTCCAAGTACCCTTCTTTCACTTTGCCATGAAAAGGCACCCTTCCCGGCCCTCACAGCCTCCTCATGGTGTGTTGTTCCACTTGGATAAATCTCAGGCGCGCCACACAAAAAATCAATTTAACATACTGGTGGCCCGGAAATAGCTGTCAACCAAGCAGCCGCTCTCCACCCACTTCATCAAGACATAACATTTTCCTTTCTAATGTCTAATAATTGCTTATTAAATTTGGCTTTAGACTTATGAATTTTCGTAACTGATGTAAACTCTAAGAAAAATAACTTAATCAGAATATATTAATATCTAGAGACTGATGATCGCAAGGAGTTAAAACAATTAAATTTCAATTTATATATAGTTTCATTATAGTGAAAATTATAGGGCAATTGGGGTAAATTCTGTGGGGAAATACAACAGAAATATTATTTCAAGGAAAAAAAGAAGCAATGTAAATATCTCTATGAAAATATTAATTTATATTATTTTTAAAAATTAATGGATGATGTCAGATAACAAAGTGTTGTGATATTTTATTCTAATAAGTATATTTAAAGGAGAGAGAGGAATTTTTTAAAAAATTTTTTATTTTCAAGGACTGGGGATTGAACTCAGGGGCCCTCAACCGTTGAACCTCATCCCCAGGCCCATTTTGTATTTTATTTAGAGACAGGGTCTCACTGAGTTGTGTAGTGCCTGGCCATTGCTGAGGCTGGCTTTGAACTCTCCATCCTCCTACCTTAGCCTCCCAAGCTGTTGGGATTACACACCCTGTAGGGTCATTTTATTTTTAAGTGTCAATATTTATAATACAATGGAAATTACAGTCTGTGCATCTGCTAAAACTTATGATGAAGGTGTTGATGCAACTGAAAATGCTGCAAGGTATTGCACAAATTTTTCAAAATCACTTTAGGGTATTCGCAGGAGAAAGTCTGAAGATGCATACTCTAGACAATGCTTTGTTAGTTGAATTTGGTTTAAATTAAAGTAATAAAATTATATTTCTTCCAATTAGTCTGAGGTAGAGAAATTGATACATGGGGGAACTGATGAGGAAATTTAAAAATTACCATAGTAACCTGAGGAGGAACAGTGAATCAATTAAAATAGGAATAAACAGAAAGTAAAGGACACGGTAGCTGAGCTGGTTGGTGGAAATCAAGACCCTAAGGATGCAAAAGTAAAAAAAAAAAATTGCACTATGATCTTTCAGCCTCAGTTTTAATTAAAAAACGCACATTTCCCTCATAAAAGAATGACTTTTTTAAATGATGTGGCTGAAGTTTCAGCTGATGACCACTGGCAGATTGTATCCCTGGAGATTAGAGGTATTTTGCTGTGGTCTTGATGCTGTATCACATTATTTCCTACAATCTGAGCCACATGTTCTGTCAGATTTTTGGAATACCAAACCATTATCCCCTGACAAGATGTCAAACAAGTTACTGATTGTAAAATAGCTTATTCTTTTCTTCTTCTTCTTTTTTAGTTTAACATAAGATCCATAAATTTACTACCTGGGCTAAACAAAACAAAACCCAATAATCCCAGATCAAACCAATCCCAAAACCTTAAATAAAAATACCTTATTCTTTAAACTTTACTTAAAAGTCTGAGTTAAGCCAGGCACTGTGTGCATACCTGTTATTCCAGTGGCTTGGGAGGCTGAGGTAGGAGGATTGCAAGTTCAAATCCCACGTCAGCAATTTAGCAAGGCCTTAAACACTTAGAGAGACTTGTCTTGGTGGGGGGGGGGGGGGGAAGCCATAAAATAAAAAGTAGGATGCAGCTCAGTGCTCAGTGGTTAAGTTCCCTCAGATTCAATCCCTGTTTAAAAGCAAAAACAAAACTAAACCCCCCCCCAAAACAGAGTCCTGAGTTTAAAAGTATTTGTCATTATTTGTGTTCTAGAAAAATATCCTTATAGACTAACTCTGATTTCTCTTAAGGAGAAATCATTACATCTCCAGATTTCTTGAACAAATGCAGGAAATTCAGATGATCATTTTAAGTACTTTAAAAATGCTTCAATGTGAACCTGGCTAAAAGGATTTTTCTTCAAACCTCCAAAATTCGTTTAAGTTGAAGTTGCCATTATACTTTAATTTCAAAAAGATCTGGGGCTGGGGATATGGCTCAAGTGGTAGCATGCTGGCCTGGCATGGCGCAAGGCACTGGGTTTGATCCTCAGCACCACATAAAAATAAATAAAGATATTGTGTCCACCTAAAACAAAAAACAAAACAAAAAAAATTAAACAAAAAAGATCTTCAGTCACAGAAAAACTCCCCTTGGAATGTTACAGTACAGATTAAGGAAGTAATGTGAGTTAAAAGTGTTGCAAAAATATTTTTAAAACCTAGCAAAAAGTCTTATTAATTTAAAGAGCATAGATTGGAATTTGTGATGCACCATACTTAATTTCTATTGGGTAAAATTTTCAAATAAAGTTGTAATGAGAACTATAAATATATGATGCATATATCCAGAGTGAATTGTGATTTTTAACTAATTTAACATCTTTCATTAATTAATTAGGCATCTTTTGATTTCTGTGGTGGTTAAGTGTATGTGTCCACTTGACTGGGCTAGTGGATACCCAGCTAGTTGTTAAAATATGATTTCTTGGGCTGGGGATGTGGCTCAAGCGGTAGCGTGCTCGCCTGGCATGCCTGCGGCCCGGGTTCGATCCTCAGCACCACATACAAAACAGAGATGTTGTGTCCGCTGATAACTAAAAAATAAAAATAAAAAAAAAATATGATTTCTGAGTGCATCTGTGGGGGTGTTTCCAGAAGAGATTTGAATGAGTAAAGGAGACTCACCCTCACCAATATGGGTGGGCATTATCTAATCCAATCCAAAAAGACAAAAGAAGTGAGGGAGGGCTAGTTTGCTCTCTCTTCTTGAGCTGAGACATCCATCTCCTGACCCCAGATAGCAGAGTTCCTGTTCTTGGACCTTTTTGGACACTGGTACTTAAGCCGTCCCTCTCTTGTTTTCACCCCCAGTTCTAGGCCCCTGGCCTCAGTCTGGGATTACACCATTGTTCCCTTGTTTCCCAGGCCTTAGGTCTTGGGCTCAGTTATACTGTCAGTTTTCTGGTGCTCTAACTTGCAGATACATCTTGTGGAACGTCTCAGTCTGCATAATTATGTGAGCTGATTTCTACAGTCAATCCCCTCTGTGTGTCTCTCGATGCCATTGTTCTGTGTCTTTGGAGGCTGCTGACTAATAATACATCCCTGGCTGCATGTTTTAAGTGTGCATGGGAAGCAGCATGTACCCTCATTTAAGAACATTCTCTGGTGCCACAGCCTGAGCTGGAATCCAGTGTCACTCTCCCTCACTCTATCAGTGCTGCCCTTGGAGTCTCACAGTCCTCATTGGCAATGTGACTGTAATAGTAGTGCTGGCCTTGGAGCACTGTTCTGAGGCTGTGTGAGGCTGTGCAGTGGGGCGCATGGCAGACACTGAATAGTTGCTATTATGATTAGGTTTCAAAACAGCCAAGAAGTAGTTCAAGATTCCATGCTCCAATCCTGAATAAGTAGAGTTTAATAATGAATGAAACTGTCATAAAAAGAAAGAAAGAGGATACCTGTACCTCTTGACTGAGATAGGATACTATTTCAGAGGACTTTCACTGAAAGTATAGAATCCAGGTATTTACTGAGCATCCTGTCTCAGATTTTAAATTACATTAATGTTTATTAATTCTGTTAGTATTCTATTCTATTCATAAACTAAATGTCAAGTGAATGAAAGATAGTAATCTTTTTCCTAATCAGAATTGAACTTTGTTAGCTGGGCATGGTGAAGCAGGCCTGTAATCCTGGTGGACTCAAGAGGCTGATGTAAGAGCATCGCAAGTTCAAAGCCAGCCTCAGTAACTTAGCAAGACTGTCTCAAATTAAAGAATAAAAAGGGATGGAGAGGGACTGGGGATATAGTTCAGTTGGTAGAGTGCTTGCCTCAGATGCACAAGGCCCTGGGTTCAATCCCTAGCACCACTAAAAAAAAAAGGGGGGGAGGCAGGGGCTGAGGATAAGTGCCTCTGGGTTCAATCTCCAGTACCAAAAATAAATAAATAAGCAAATAAATAAATAACATAAAAATTAAACTTTGTTAATATAAAAGATACTTAAATCAACTTTTATTTCTTCCTTCCTGCCTACCATTCCCCTTCCTTGGCCCTCCACATATAACCTATAGCTCTCTTAAAAACCAGAGTCAATATCATAAGCCATAAATTTCTGTAGGTGGTACATAAGAAAATTTACAGCACCATGTTTGAGTCAATTGCTCTTTAGTTCAATTTCTAAAGCTTAAGTCAACTAAAAAAAAAAAAAGCTTCCATAGTAAACTGAAGGGGGACTATGAGCCAACTAATATGGGGATTGGAGTAGAAAAAGGGACATCTGGGCGCTGGGGTTGTGGCTCAGTGGTAGAGTGCTTGCCTAGCACACTCGAGGCACCAGGTTCAAACCTCAGCACCACATAAAAATGAAATAAAGATATTGTATCCACCTACAACTAAAAATAAATATTAAAAAAAGAAAAAAAGGACATCTGCAACAAAATAATACTGTATGTAGGATTATAAATTATCGAAAGTTTAACTAAGCAGCAGGTGGAGGTCAAGACTTTAAAAATACAAGCATGAAAGTTGATGGAAGAACTTACTGACTTTCCTTTTTGAAACAGAAGTTGATTTCCAGCCAGTGTAAAGTAACGAGTTTTCCACCTTTTGATGAACTTCCATCTGACTTGCTTCTCCTTCAGTTTCCCTTCGATGAGAGGCTGCCCATCTTGGTTTATAACTGTTGAGGTAACAGAGCGATCAAGCCATTCATTTTCCATTATTGATTTGGCAAGTGATCAAGAGTCAGAACTGTACAATGAACCAGAACTCAGTAAGCATACCTGAAAAGTGGGCTAATAAATTGTGAATTTGGTTAACGTTTCCTCCTTTGTCCCTAAAAGGATGCACACTTCCGACAGAATGATGAAAATGTACTGAGATCTTCAAAAGAAATGAGCTCTGCCAAAAAACCAAAGGCCAAATGTTTTCTCTGATAAGTGGATGATAATCAATAATGAGGGGATGCATGGGATGAGTAGAGGAACTTCGGATGGGCCAAAGGGGAGGGAGGAGAGGCAAGGGGGATTGGGGATGGGAAAGACAGTGGAATGAGATAGATACCATTACCCTAGGTGCATATATGATTGCATAAACGGTGTGACCCTACTTCGTGTACAACCGAGAAGTGAAAAATTGTGCTCCATTTGTGTACAACGAATCAAAGAGCATTCTGCTGTCATGTATAACTGATTAGAACAAATAAATAAAAAAAAATAAATTAAAAAAATAAGGGAATTAGCTCACAAAGGAGCCTCTGGCTCAGGGGTTCTGGGTTCATCAGACACACAACTCCCTGCACTTTTTGGCCTCTTTGTTTCATGTCATTCTGTTCCTTAGGTCAAAATGACCAAATCAGTATATAACAAGTGTGAAATGTTGGCCCAAAATAGTTAAAATGCCATAAGCTCATTTCCTACTATTGATTTTTCCAATACCTAGATAATAAAATGCAAGTTTCCATGCTTTATGACACATGAACTGCTCAGAAATATAGCTTAATAAATAATCATAAACCAAGTATATTTAAATATTTGGCAGCAAAAGTCAATGCAATACTCCAAAAGACAAGTTTTTTAAAGCCGTTACACTAAGCTGTAAGGCAAACATCCCCAAATCTCTTGTCCATATTGCCAGTCTCTGAAACATTTAAACATTCTCCTCTCCGTACTTCCATTTTCCCTTAGTCAACAACTGACCGCTTCTCTCTGTTTAAAATGCTTCCTTCAAGACACCTTTCCCACACCTAGGCTGGAGCAGCTTCTGGTATACATGCTCTCATAGCACATTTCTTCTTATCAATTGTCTGCATTTGTGATGGCCACTGGCATTTGTCTGACTAATGGCTTTATGCCCCATTCAGCTGAAGCTCCACAGGTGCAGGGGCTTGCTCAGTTACCAGGTGTCTAACTCAGCACCTGGCCCAGTGAGGGAGTCTGTTCCCTGAATGCATCTTACATTGACGCAGAGTGTGATTACGCACAATCACGGAATCCAGAAGATCCATTACAGTGTCAGAAGCTGACATACCAAAGGATTTCATTCCTTTGACCAATGATATAAGATTAACTCATTAAATTTATGTGAAAGCCTGTGGTTTCAGTGGGGACAGACAGTGAAAGCTGCATTCAGAGCAGGGAGACATTTACTTATACACACGTATGCTTAGTTTTCATAGCACTTTGAAAGTAATGAAATTTGTTTCACTGCTTTGGAAAAACTCTGGATGGAGCCTTTTTGACCACATGAGAACAACTCTGTCTTTCACACTATCATATATATTTTTCCTAATGTAGGCCAAATAACGACCTCAGACAGGTGGATTGTCTATCCTGACAGAACACTTTTGGGATAAGAATAATGAAAAGTTCAGTTTTCATCAGCAAAGTTCTATTAGGGATAGTTTGACTTTTTCTCCTTGTCTCATGACTATTATTCAATTGGCTGTTCTCTTGTCAATTTCAAATTAAGGGTAACAATGGGAAATATGTATCAAGTATATTAATAAGGGCTATGATCAAGGTAGACCAGGGAGAGTAGTATGCATATCTTTAGGAGTCAGGAAACAGCAGGAGCAGCCTGGGGGTCTGTCTGGACTGGGGGTTCAGTAGGTGTTTATTCACACCATACAATAGAGTCCCAGTGTGAGCTGCTGGAGGAAGAAAGTTTCAAGATTCAAGAGGAAAACAACAACAAAAATTAAAAAAAAAAAAAAATGAAAACCATCACTACCAAAAAAATCCCATGGCAAGAATAAGGTTAAAAATTAAAACAAAAAAAACAAACATGTTTTTTAAAACACCTTGAACACATTTGCCATGTTTTCAAATTAGAAAAAAATAGTCTAATTATAATGTTCAAGGATTTTGAATATGAATTCCGAAGGTTCAGACTTGAAATAACAGCAGCCCCCCTCTGCTCAAAGGGAAGCTGAGAGGTCAAAAACTAAAGTAAAGAGGTGTGTGTGAGGACTTGGGGTCAATGGCAAAGCAGGTAGCCCACTCCCCTCCCCCATTTCAGTAAAGGTTTTATTCCAGTTTTTAATCACACTGCTTTCTTGCCACGGTTTTTAATGGTAAGGCAAATTTAATGTAACATCATTTAATAAGGGTACATTTCTTGTTTCTCAGTGTCTCCTATTTACCCATGGAAATATTTGAAATAGTTAAAACACCTAAGATGATTTGGAGTCGTGACTGACTTTGGTAATATCTGAGCACACTCTGGGTCTGGTGCAGGGGATTCACCTCTGGGTCTGGTGCAGGGGATTCACTTCTGTTTCTCCTCAAGGTAGATCCAGATGCTTCACTCGCACACTGTACGTGACATAGGTTTATAAGAAGCACTTGGCCAGATTGTTGAAGGATCCTAAGAGGCGTGGGGTGAGCTGGGTGTCATGCCCACACTACCTGTGATAGAGACTCAAGACCGAATAGGAGGCTTGCCAGGGACTGAGGGGCAAAGGACCTCAGAAACGTGCTGCTGCGTTCATTGCACTGAGAGAAAAATGTCCAGGGAGGGGTCTTGGGAAGGAAGGGTCAGCAGACCCTTGAAGTAGCTGAATGTCGGGACCCAAATTTAGGTATCGGTCAGCTCCAGAAGATTCAGTAAAAGCCAGGCTATTTGTAGCTGTAAGATTAATTTTAAAATAGTTTTAAAAGGCGAGAGAGAGAGAGAGAGAGAGAGAGAGAGAGAGAGAGAGAGAGACTGACTGACTTAAAAATTTTCCTAATTGTTCTCCTATACCTGTATTTTTTTTTTCTATTATGTCCAGCATATGCACGACCGGGCAGTGTTATTTTAAAGAGTTTATCACCTATAGCATGTCCTTGTAAGCAATAGTTCTCATAAGATACCACAGCCTCTGTACAGCTAAAGTAAAAAAAGAAAATTATTTTTTTTCTAAGGATTATCATATTCCACTTGAAAAATAAGATGTGGAATGATTCAAGGAGGGCAAGATCATGTATCTAAAACAATCTTGTTTACAATGTAACACATATAGGATATTCAAGCCCTCTCTCACTTTCTTGTTAATACATCGTTTCATTCCAAACACCTCACCTCCAGAAAAAAATTTTCCCCAGCTGGGGTCTGTTCCTTTCTTTAATTATCAACTGGCTGAAAAAGACATGGGATATTGAACTGAATTTTCTAGTGCAGTTGGAAATCTGTTACCACATTTGTCCATTTTTGTTTTTCAGAATGCTAATACAAATATTTATACATCAATTGTAACCCTTTTGTGCATGAAGAGTTGATAATATTTATTGACAAAAAATGAATTTTGAAGGTGCTACTCAAGGTGAAGTTGATGAGTAAAAGTGAGATAATAATAGACTCCTTAAAGCTGAGCACCCCACTGTAGGAGGAGTAAGATGACAAATACTCATCTGTCAATCCCTCAGCCATCCCTCACCCACATGTCTGAGCACAGAAAAGCCAAAAGACATGGTGGTCAGATCTGAGGGGTTACAATACCTGGCTCACGGGGAGCTTAACTTTATTATCTGGTGAGCAGGTAGAGCATTTTACCAACTGGACAGCTCAGTGTCCAGCTTGGCTAGTGCCACTGGAGAAGTAGAAGCTAAGTGTTACCCCAAAAGAGGACATTCCGTTTCTGATTGGGAAGAGCCGGCCACTGATGAAGAAGGAGAAGATGGGTGCAGAGGAGGCGTGTAAGGGAAAACATGCAGGAGAACCTAAGAATGCGGGGAACAGAGGCAGCTCCCAAGGCTCTGGGGGAAGCCATGGTTGGGGGTGAGAGGACAAGTCCATCCACAGTTCCAAGGTGTAAGTCAGGAAAGAGACTGGGTGTCAGTCACGGGAGCCCCATGTGGACTTTTTTGGGATGTTCCTCTAAAGCCCTGCTAGAAAGGACAAGTGAGGGGCCTGGAGCCCGTGATCCCAACCAGTTCTCAGAAGGCCTCGTGTTCCCCAGCTGGGGTCAGTAATGTACCACGCAGGTCCCTGCAGGAAGCAGGTGGCCTCCAGCTGGGTAGCTTAGGAGTTAATAAAGGGACAGTTTACACAGGTGTGGGCAAGGTGTGGACAGGCATCTTAGCACTCTGGGGCCAGTGGCCTTGCAGGCCCAACACCCCTCTGCCTAAAGAGAAAAGGGGAGAGGTCAGTTAGGACCCTGAGGGAGACCTGCCCCTGGTGGGAGCTGTGGCCCAGACTGGAGGACCCAGTGAGCCCACTGGGGCCAAGCAGATCTGCCTGAAACCCCTGGCCTCACTCCTCCACGGCGACACCTGCTGGTGCTGAACTCTAAGGAGCCAGAAGTCGGAATTGGTATCTACGATGTGCTTATTCACAGGTAGTTTGTACCCCATCCCGCCGTAGCCTGTGCACTAACAGCTGGGGACTGCCTGTTCTGGAGGAAGCGCAGGAAGGAGCAAAGTGCAGCAAAATATACAGAAACATCTTTTGATGCCTTAGAAGGAAAGGAAGGGCTGTGTAGCTGCCTCTGGGTTAATGTAGCTGCCTCCAGGTTAATGAGATGGCTCAACAGTTAACCCTTGTCAGGGAACACCGAGTTCCACTTTTTATCAACACCTTTGGCCATTCACTAATTCTCCCCACTGTTTTATTCCAAATGCCTTAATTGAAGGTACCACGCAGGCACACGCCAGGGAAGGGGGACGCAAGGACGAACAGGGCAGTCTGTCTCTGAGATAG